CCTAAATCCTAAACCCTATCCCCTAAATCCTAAACCCCAAACCCTAAACCCTCAACCCTCAACCCTAAACCCTATTCCCTAAAGCCCTAAACCCTAAAACCCTAAACCCTAAACCCTAAACCCTAAAACCCTAAACCCTCTTCCCTAAAACCTAAACCCTAAACCCTAAAAACCCTGAAAACCCTATTCCTCTACCTCCACGAGCTCCAGGTTCGACAAGGAGCCGGCCTCCTCCCTGCTGGGGGAGATCGCACCGCTCACGGCCCTGACTTTGGAGGCCATGGGGCCTTGACTTCTTCTGAGCTTTTGTCATCTTTTTGGTGTTTAGGGTTTAGGGTTTCGGGTTTCGGGTTTAGGGTTTAGGGTTTAGGGATATATATATATATATATATCTTTATGTATATAGTTATTTGTTGTGTATATGTATGTATGCATGCATGTAACAATGTATGGCCACGACATGTGAATGTGTGTGTACACACTTACGCACAGGTAGTTGTGGTGGTTGGATACTCTTATATATATATATAATATATACATATACACTTACATATCTAGGTTTATAGTTTTCGATGTGCATATAGAAGGCTTAGGCTAAGGAAAGCAAAACACAGCAGAACACATTGTAACGATTTTGGCGACAGTACCGAACAAAGATGCCGCATACACCATGTTTACAAGCATGCACCCTAAACCCTAAACCCCACACCCGAAACCCCAAGCCCTAAACCCTAAACCCTAAACCCTAAACCCTAAACCCTAAACCCAAGGCGCTGGATGCACTTCCGCCACCGGCTCTTCAGGGCTGTACGCGCGAGGCCAGGTGCCCCAAGCACGTGCCAACAACGCGTTTAGGGGCTTTGGGGCTTTGGGGTTTTGGGGTTTGGGGTTGAGGGGCTTTGGGGCTTTGGGGTTTTGGGGTTTGGGGTTTAGGGTTTAGGGTTTTAGGGTTTAGGGTTTAGGGGCTTTGGGGTTTTGGGGTTTGGGGGTTTAGGGGTTTAGGGTTTAGGGGCTTTGGGGTTTTGGGGTTTGGGGTTTAGGGTTTAGGGGCTTTGGGGTTTTGGGGTTTTGGGGTTTAGGGTTTAGGGGCTTTGGGGTTTAGGGGTTTAGGCTAAGGGGTCCAGGAATCGAACGTGTTTCTACATGGTTGCTACTTGCTAGAAGAATGGTTTAGAGGTCTTAGCTATACGGAGGCTAGGAGTAGGGGTCGACCGGGTTCCACAGGGCTTTTTTTCAAGACCAGCGGTTGGGGCTCTTGGGTTTCTATTTTGATTAGGGCACTTATATAGGGGTTTAGAGTTTGGGTTTAGGGTTTAGGTTTTAAATTTAAGTTTAGGGTTTAGAGTTTCGGGGGACTTGTAGGTAAGTAAACAACCCCACACTCCCGAAGCCAAAAGGCCATGAGGCCCCAGCCCACATACGCTGACCCCCAGGTCTGGGTCAGAACTACCCCGTAAAAGCTGATAAAACTCCATATCAAGGCACCCGAACAAGCCCTACCTGGGTATCCAATAACCTACCGTTCTCAGGGTTAGATAAGGGGTCATAACCTACTATTTCGGAGGGCTTGGGGATGCAGGTATACCCTCAACCCTCCGTTTAAAGGACTGTATATTTTTCTTCCTAAGGCTTGTAGGCTCAGGGGCCACGCGTGTTTTGGGGCCCATGGAGTTCAGAATGCAGGCTTGATGTTTAAGGCTTATACGGGTTCAGGGTTTAAGCCGAAGATGACCTTCAACCAGGACTTGATGGTGTGATGAGAACACTTCAGTTAACTCATTGCAGACCCACAGATGACTTGATGGAAAGGTACCTGGGCCTATCCTGTTTTATATGCGGCTCGTGCTATGAATGTATTCTAAACCTTATGAGCTCTGAGACCCCAAACCCTCAAGCCCAAAACCCTAAACCCTAAAGCCTAATATAGGGGCCTTGACCTTGATAATTAGAATAGGGTTTTGGGGCTGCCTCATTACAGTAGGATATAATAATCACCCCAAAACCCTATTCTATTTATCAAGGCCCCTACATTAATTTAATGTAGGGGCCTTAATAAATAGAATAGGGTTTTGGGCACCTTTATAGTAAACTTTAATAAAGCCCCAAAATTCCGGGAGGCAGCCGTGTCGAAGGTGTTCTTCGGCTCAGAGGTGCCCATAGAGGCGCCAATTCCATCGGTTTAGGGTTTATAGTAGGGTTTAGGGATTTAGGGTTTAGGGATTTGGGGTTTAGGGATTTAGGGATTTAGGGGTTAGCGCTTAGGGATTTAGTGGTTTAGTTGAGGTCCCCGCAAAAGCCCAGAACCCCTTAAACAGGAAGAGACCTGAAATTAGGGTAGTGGGCTCTCTGAGTCGTTTGGGGGTACAGGGCTTTAAGTTTGGAGTAGGAGGGCTAAGGGTTTAGGAACGCAAAGTTTAGGGGCTAGGAGAAAGTCTTAGGGTCCACCCTTGAATCCTGAACCCTAAATTAAACTTGTTTTCTACGTCTACCATTCCCAAAATGTGCTTGAGCTCAGGGAGTTCCGGAAGCTGCGGAGCCTGACGTAGAAGAGAGGTTTAGGGTCTAGGGTTTAGGGAACAAGACGGACAGGCATGCAAGAACTCTGAAAAGGATTGAAGACGAATGCTGCGTAGCATACAGGAGCAGCGAGCACATTATTTTCGTGCTGGCTGGTACTTGGTGCCGGCGCGGCCGTCGAGAAGCCAGGAAGACACGCTGTATAGTTACGCCACTAAGGCCGGACTGTGCCTCCGCGCCATCGATTTGGTCCATCCCAAGCATGGTGTGCAGCTTACAGATCAACCGTCACTGTCGGAGGGTCCCTAATCGACAGGTGCTGCACCTTCCGTCACCACAGCGCCGATACCATCGCGTTTGACGGCCAAAGCCTGGTGAGTTTTCATAGTAGTTCCGACTCCTTCTGAAATTCTTCAACAGTCAATATCGCAAGTCCCGATTGGCAAGCAGTCGAATCCAACAACGGACCTTTCGTTCAGAAAGCCTCATGACCGTCAGTGGCTGCATAGGAACCCAGAGAAGATGCCCTGTGTGGTGCGGAGCATCTTGGCTTCAGGCATTTCTCGGTTGCTTCGCATTATTTCGGAGCGTTTAGGGAACAGGACGGACCCAACATGCAAACTGAGCTCCGAAGATTCGGCCCGAGAGCCTTCACCAGCTGGGGGTTTAGTGCTTTAGACTTTAGAGTTTGCGAAGCCATATGTATAACCTTATAGCCCTAAACCCTATAAGCCTGTATAACCCTAAACCCTATATGTAAGCCTATAACCCCAAACGCTAAAGTTTGATCCCGGACAGCGGCTTTCAGCAGACTGCCAACAGTTTTCAGCCTCAAGCTCACCCTCAGCGCCAGAAGCAGCAAATAAACCAAGATGCCTCATCCGAATCCGACACCCCAGACCCTAGAACGCCAAGCATTGTGATTACGCTTGATGATTTAAATCCTGCATTGCCCATAAGAAGGAATATACCATAACTCCATAGTTTAGGGTCCTTAAGGTCATGCAGGATTTATATCCACACCAGTAGTGCGATTTCCTTACAGACCCTACATAAACATACTACATTCCCGCAAAGCCGTAATTAGTCTAATCTTGTTTGCCCCCCGGGCCCTAAACCCAAAACCCCCTAAGCCCTAAACCCCTAAGCCCCAAACCCCTAAACCCGAAACCCCTAAACCCCCGAAACCCCTAAACCCCTAAACCCCTAAACCCTATAAACCCTAAACCCCTTAGCCCCAAACCCTAAACACTAAACCCTAAACCTCTAAGCCCCTAAACCCCTAAATCCCTAAACCCCTAAACCCTATAACCAATAAACCCCTAGGCCCCAAACCCTAAACCCTAAACCCCTAAACCCCTAAACCCCTAAGCCCCAAACCCTGCACCCCATGATTCGTGCTCGCAGGAACTGCGCCAAGCAGTTGCCAAGAGCTGGCTTGAGGCGTGGATCTTTTGGGTGTCGGACGTAGAGTCCAGGTTTAGGGATTTAGGGCTTTAGGGGTGTAGGTGGTATCTTTTGGGTCTCGGACGTAGAGTCCAGGTTTAGGAGTTTAGTGTCTTTTAGGGGTTTAGGGGGTTTAGGGCTTGAGGCGTGGATCTTTTGGGTCTCAGTCGTAGAGTCAAGGTTTAGGAGTTTAGGGTTTTAGGGGTTTAGGGGGCTTAGAATCAAGGTTTAGGAGTTTAGGGTTTTAGGGGTGTAGGGGTTTAGGGTTGATGGTTTAGGGGTTTGGGGTTTAGGGGTTTAGGAGTTTAGGGTTTTAGGGGTTTAGGGGGTTTAGGGTTAATGGTTTAGGGGTTTGGGGTTTAGGGGTTTAGGAGTTTAGTGTCTTTTAGGGGTTTAGGGGATTTAGGGTTAATGGTTCAGGGGTGTTGGGGTTTAGGGGTTGAGGAGTTTAGGGTTTTGGCGGTTTAGGTGGTTTAGGGTTAATGCTTCAGGGGTTTGGGATATAGGGGTTTAGGAGTTTAGGGTTTAGGGCTTTAGGGGTTTAGGGTCTCGGTCTTACCCGTACCCTCAAAGGACTCATATTTTAAGGCTTTTGGAGCCAAAGACCGTATTATATAATGATTTTGGGCTATTTTGATGCTAAGGGTTAGAGTCAAGGTTTTGGAGTTTAGGGTTTGGCGGTTTAGGGGTTTGGGTTTAGGGCTTATGGTTTAGGTGTTTATGCTCCTTTGGGTCTTACAGCTCAGACCCTGTCATTGTTTTTGCAGAATGCTCATGCAGGCTTTGCAAGGGCTCGACTTGGTGATGTGGGGTCCCTTGTCTACGGACCAAGACTCCTAACAGTACCAATCCTAATACTTGGTGACCAAAGGTAAGTTTTTTCCTGAAATCCGATATGATTTGGAGGTAGTTAGGCCCCAAAGCCGCGTTACTTGTGGCATACTTGGAATGTATAAAGACACCCCAGTACAACTTCCATTATCCTTTGATGGAACGGCCCCTGTTTTACAAGCGTTTGCTTGGTTTCGGAGTTTTGTTCGACGGCTTTGTGGTGGGTTTTTGCTGCCGTGATACAGGCCTCGGTCGCACGACGAAGCCTCTTGTCTCCTGGGTGCTATAGAAGCCTAAATGATTACCAATATTGTTCCTTATGGCTTATTTTTATAGTTTTACTATAAAGGTGCCCAAAACCCTATTCTAATTATTGAGGCGCCTACATTACACCCAGGACTCGATAAGGTTGGGCTGATCGTTACCCAGTCGTCCCGTCTGCAGGCTGTTATTCAAGCTCCGCACCCTCGAGCACGGAACGTGATGGGATTGTATATATATATATATACACACACATAGTCCTGGGGCCGTCAACAAATCAGTTTCAGACGTGTCTGCAAGTGGCAATTCGATTGCATCGGCTCCCCCCCGGCGACACATTTCAACTTCGAGCTGAACCCTTATGAAAGCCTACCGCGCTAAACCCTGGAAGCTTGATGGCCCTGAACCCTGAAATCCTGGACTACTGAATCTCCAGCCCCCACCAAAGCCCTGAAATCCTTACAGCGCGCAGATTCTGAAAATCCCCACAGTGCCCTTGAAGCCTTAAAGGAACCCTTGAAGGAGCCCCTACAGCTCTCTCGAGCCTTCCTGTGCCCTGAGCCCGCCAAAACCTGCAGAGGATTTCTCCTTGGATCATCTTGCATACCTGGCAGGGGGCGAGGAGGACTTGAGTTTGGATTTAGGAGGCAGGGTTATAAGGTTTAGAGCTTAGGGTTTAATTCTTTTTTTTTGGGGTGGGGCTTGGGGTCGAGAGGTTTAGGAGTGTTCAAAGTAAAGATCTACGACCTTGAGCCTTGCAAGCCCTACCTGAACACCTACAAAAGCGACCTGTTTGCTACCCGTAGAATTTGTTCATAATTAATGGTTTCCTTGCGTCAGGCCTTACACGCTAAGGGCTGATCTTTTGGGCCGGTTCTGGGGGCCTGAAAACTCACAATTCGTAAATTTATTCGTCATTGGGGTTCCATTTGACGTGGAAAAGCACGACACATGAGATTTGGAAGCGGCTCACCGATTTCATGGCTCCCGGTTTTGGGGCTCAGCTATGGGCCGGAGTGTTTAGGTTTCATGTCTGGTTGAAGATCATGGCATGGACTATCTGGGTATCCAGAAGCCTACTGTTTTCCGGGTTAGGCCCTATACCTAACGGGTCATACCAGTCTAGGGAGCTATGGAACCAGATATATGCGTATGTGGAATTGTTGATGATCCGGAGTTTCGATGAAGAGCTATGGCGCAGACTGAAAATTGACGCTTCGTCATAACCTGTATTGAGGCTCCATGCCAATGCTCCGCTGAGACGGTTCAACAGAACCTGACTCGCCTTCAGCTTTTGATGTTCCGACCGGGACGCTTAAGCCCATGGCCTTGTACGACGTCCGATTCCCAGCTGGTTCATTCGCTGGCAGTGGCTACGGCAGTGCAACCATGTCCATGGTGCTTAGCGTGTCTACCGACCGAAGTAAGGGCGCCCTGACGAATTACTATTACTTTGGCCTCCAGCCGCAGGGGTATACCCCTTAGATGGCGTTCGCCAGGACACAAGGGTCAAAGCTTTCAGCCGTGAAAGAGCGGCTCGTCTTTGGCGCAGTGGACCACAACCTCCGCATAGACTGCTCCCTGGCTTATCCACTCACTAAACGACCACATGAAGATGAAGAACCACCAGTCCTGCATGTACCCCTACATGTATGGATGGGGTTTGGAACGATATCTCCAGTGGCAAGTGGAGGTGTCAGATCGCTTTAAAGGATATAGTCAATTTGGCTTCTTTGACTGGAACCAATGGGACTATTCATGTGAACCGGAAGAGATGTTTGATGCATTCAACCGCCTCCGTTCTTTCTGGAAGCAAACACCTGACCTTCGAGACTTGATTTCAGCCGAGAGTACAGAGCATATAAGTCACTTACGGCTCTCGGACATCGGTAAACTCTCATGGGCTCCACCCTGTAGGCTCTACCTTCTAGACCTCTAGTTTGCAAAATCCTAGCCCCGTCCGGCCCGCGAACCTGCTTGAACCCTGATAAGGTACAGCCCCAACCCAACCCGAACTCTGCAAAGCACCAACAAAAAACAGAAAGTATACCTCTGAACCCTAAACCCTAAACCCCAAAATGTGGAGCCTTTGGGTTCCTTGAGATGATTGGCATATAGAGGTTTGGATGCCCGAGCCAGGTTTCCGTCGTTGCACTGCGAGGTCACCGGCCAGCGGCATGCTATGCTAAGGAAACCCGACCTGGCATACCGCTATGTGGAGCAAAAGGAACCTAATCCGTAAACCTTAAACCCTAAATCTTAAGCCCTAAACCCTCAGCCTTGACCTTTCAACTCCCTGAAGGAGAAACAGCGCATCATCGAGGCTGCGCCACAGTTGCAGGCCTGCGAAGAGTGGGCAGCTGTAGGCTAGGGGGTTTAAGGTTTATAGGGTGTAGGATGTAGGGAATCATTTGCCTCGCTCACTCGCTCACTGCTGATGGTGCCCTCTGTGTCGTACTCGCCAGAACGGACGCATGCGATGTTCCACATGCTCCCTCTCTCTCTCTCTCTTCCTCCCTCCCTC